AAAAAACTTCTCCCCCTTAATTCTTTCAAGGATACCTTTATTTGAAATTGTACCCTCTTTCCTTCCAAGCCAGTCCCTGCCCCAAATCTTGATGAGATTACTTTGTTTGAGGATATTGCTAAATTCATAGCGAGGTTTCTGGTTTAGCCGAATAAATTGGTTTAAATTATGGCCTTACAGAGAGAGAGGGCTTTAAACAACTTGAATAGTTTTCAAGCAATTGACCATAAGCCTCTGCTTCTAGAAAATTCATTCTAGGTTTATTCATACGGAGAAGGTATGATTTTGTTTTGCTGTGTTTTGTTTTGATTTTGGTTACTTCATTGCACACTCGGTCTCAGATTCTTTGATGTGAGAAATCATGGGGAAAACTTAGCTTTGCTTGGTTAAGGGCAGGATGAGAAATAAGGGGTCCATTATTCCAAGCCTCTCATTTTAATGATTAAGAAAATGTGGGCCAGAAAGGGCAGATAATTTGCCCAAGGTCACGCAGCAAATTCTTTTTTTAAAAAAAGAGGCAAAGGACTCATTTCCCTTGCTCTGGTTCAGTGCTAGTCTCACCTTTTTTTTTTTTTTTTTTTTGAAGGGGAGAATGTGAGGGGGAGTGTGTTATGGGCAGATTTGTCCACTCAAAATGCATGTTTCGAGGTCCCCCCAGGATCTCAGCAGGTGACTATATTTAGGGGTAGGGTTTTTAAAGAGGTGATTAAGTTGAATGAAGCCATTAGAGTGGGCCCTGATCCAGTTTCAGCCTCTGGAACTGTGAAAAAATAAATTTCTGTTGTTTAAGCCACCCAATCTCTGACACTTTGGTATGGCAGCCTTAGCAAACTAACACCAGAGGAAGGTAAGAACAAAGACATTCAAAATTCAGAACTTCAAACTTGGGAAGTTGTCCATGAACTGAAATGGGAAACCCAGATAATTATTACTACTTCTAAGAAATAATGCTGTGCCAAAGCCCATACTAACTTGATTTGGAATCATAGTTTTGTATGTGGCATCTCATTTCACGCTTGTAACATGCCTGAAGTATAGTTATTATTAGCTCCACTTTGCAGATGAGGAAGCAGGCTCAGAAAGTTAACTCATCGAAAGTTACATATTTATGGGCTAAGTGATTGAGTTAGGTCCAAATTCATCTCTTTGTCTGACTTTAAAACTGTCACTACACTGAAGTCAACCCACACTGTTTAGTAACCATTGTTACCGAGTTGCTTAAAGTTAGGAAGAGAAAAAAATGTCCTCTGAAGTCTCAGTGGCCTGGAATCCACTTAAATGATTGAACAGGAACTATTTGGCCCCTGATTTTAGGATAAAAATAGAGATCTGGAAAGTCTGAAAAGATAGTGAAGGTATTCGAGTTTCACTACAAAGGTTTCCCAGTGGCTTATACCTTCACACGTCAAAATGGACAGCTTCACATAATGAAGAATTAACAGTCATTAGTGATGGACCCCAGGCCCCCAGGAAATCTGAGCTGTCGGAGGAGAGTCAGTTACCCACAGCAGGTCACGCTTGCTGAAGCAGGAAACCAGAGCCGGGCCTCTGCAACATGAGTGGATGTGGAAGCTCTCTGTGCCGGAGTTTTACAAATAGCTATTTTAGAAGTATTTGTAACAGTAAGACCTGATAAATATGCAATAGCCAAAAAAAA